TGTTGGTTTGCTGTAGGGTTGACCATAGTTTACTTAGGGGTACACTGTAATATGCTTTTTGTAAGTCTACGTACACCAGGTGAACTTCTTTATTGACGGTTGTTTTTTCTCAATAACTTGCGTAATAGAGTATAGGTGGTCTACTGTGGATCGCCCAGCTCTAAAACCAGCTTGCTCCTCTGCTTCGTAATCTCTATAGTCATTTTCTATTTTGTTCTTAATAAGTTTCCTATACATCCTACTTATTGTGCTGTTTACCGCAATTCATCTATAATTTTCACACTGATATTTGCTGCCCTTTTTGTGGATAGTTGATATGATAGATAATTTCCATTCTTTTGGTAATTCGGCCCCATTCAAGCAGTCTTGAAAGAGTTTTCTTAACTGTTCCTGGAGTTTGTCTGTACCGGCTTTCACTAATTCTGCAAGGATGTCACCAGGACCAGGGGATTTTCCATTTTTCAGGGATTTGGTTATTTCTTTCATCTCTGATTTACTTATTTGTAATTGTGATGAATTTATACGTATATCTATCGTGTTGTCTTTCATGTTAACAAATTCTGGTCCTTGTTCTGTTAGTAATTTTTTGAAATATTCTTCCCATTTTTTCTGTTGTTATTGGTGATATAACGTCTTTTTTCTTATTATTTCTCATACTTTTAATCAATCTCCAACTCTCTGTGCTTCTTTTACCTACTATATAGCTGTTGATCTTTTGGCAGTTCTGTTCCCATGATTCGTTCTTGTTGTCTTTTTTCTTACTTTGGCGTGTTCTTCTTTGTAACTTGTTTTATCGTTTTCTGTTTTTGTTGTTAAAAATGTTTGGTATTTCCGACGTTTGTCTTTAATTTCCTTCTCCATTTCTTCATCCCACCAGTACGGTTTTATTCCTTTATTATTTTCGTCACATTTCCCCAGTGCTTCTTCTGCTGCTAAATGAATGGACCTTTTGATGTGTTCGTAGTGTTTTTCGGTATTTCCAAAATTACCCATTTCTACTTTTTGGTCTAATCGTTTTTTATACAGTAGCTTTACACTTTCATGGTTTAAACTGTCTAGGTTGTACCGTACTTGTTTTATTACCTCATTTGACTCGATGTGCTCTTTTTCTTTTTCGTATCTGTTTGGGAGTACCGTTTTGACTTTTAGCAAATGATGATCGGTGCTACATGATAGCCCTCTGGCTACTCGCACATCTTGTATTTTAATTGTAGTTCTCTGTCTTACAATGCTATAATCTATTATAGATTTCAGATTTCTGGTCTGTTGTATCCACGTGTATTTGTGCATATCCCTATGTGGATAAAATCCATTTAATATTTTTAAGTTATTTTGTGTGCATGTTGTTATTAATCTGGTTCCATTATCATTTCTGTATTTTCACCGTGTGTTCCTACCACTTTGTTGTTCAATTTCCATCCAACTCTGCTGTTGAAGTCTCCTAAAAGTATGATCTCCCTAGATGTTTCTACTTTTATAATTTCATCGTTTAGTTGTTCGAAAAATGCATCTTTACTGTTGACCAATGCGTCCTCATTAATCCCATATACACCTAGTACAGCTATTCTGCTTCCTTTTATCGTGATGTTCATTTTTATCAATCTCTGATTTATTGCTTCCCAAGAAGTAATATGACTTCTTGAAGTTTTGCGAATAACAATAGCAACACCTTGTTGTGCTCTTTGGTCTTTAGTTACTCCACTATAGAATAGGTCATAGTGACCCCACTTTTCAGAACCCATACCTTTCTTTTTAGTTTCTATAAGTACCGCGATATCTATCTCTGCATTTTTGAGTTATGACATGATTTCTGGTGTTTTTCGGAAGATACCTTGTACATTCCATGTACAAAAATTCATTAACCGTTTTCTTTGCTCTTTTCGTCTACTGTGTTTCCAATCTTTTGTTACGAGGCTTTGGTTAGGCTTCTTTACGTGTTTTATGAGTACCGAGGAGTTGGCCGGGTGCCTCAACCCCCAACCTGGAGGGCCAGGGATTTTACATCAGAGTATCCTTCTCCTATGCGAGTTGCTTCCACTACAGCTAGAGAGTCTCACCTACCCTTCGATTTTAAACAAGCCCTAAAACCAGGGGGCTGCCACTTCCGTCCCCCAGACCGTTGTGAAGACCTTCTTCTCCGCCCTGGATGCCGTTGTGGACTTCATCCGTGACCCTGGACAAGGGACCCTTAGCAGGTACTAGTTTCCCGGGCCAGGACACCGGGAAACGGTTTATTTCATAAAATTACACAAGAGATAAAAAAGAAATTTTAAAAATCGAAAGAAACACATAACGTCGAAGACCACTGGAATCATCTTAAAAACATTATGCAAGAAACAACTAAAAAGTATAAAACTATTAATAATCGCAAACATAGAAAAAAAATACGCTACCTGACAAGAGACTTCAGAACTCAGAGAGCCAGAACTTGGGCCATTGAAGATAACACTGGAACCCTGAGAACAAACAGAGAAGACATAGCAGAGACATGGAGATCGTATTGCAGGGACCTATATAAAGATGATCAACGCCAAGAGCTTGTTAGCCAAATCTCTGACGAGGTGGAAGAAGAACCTGATATACTCGAAAATGAAGTAAGACAGGCTATCAACAAGCTCAAATATAACAAAGCACCAGGTCCAGATATGATAACAGCAGAAATGCTTAAAGCCACAGAAGAAACCGGCGTAAAGTTATTTCATCTACTCTGTAACCAAATATGGCATTCCAAACAATGGCCTGAATAGTGGACAAAATCTACAATAACGACCATACATAAAAAAGGCAGCTTCCATAAATGCGACAATTATAGAACTATCTCTCTTATATTCCCATGCCAGCAAGATAATGCTACATATAATCAATGAGAGACTGAAAACATTCCTTCAAACAGAAATTCCACAAGAGCAAACTGGATTTACCAAAGGTAGAGGTACTCGAGAACACCTGCTGAATATAAGAAAGATAATCGAGAAATCTAGGGAATTCAACATCCCACTATACATCTGTTTTATAGATTACCGTAAAGCGTTCGACAGGGTCAAGTGGAGACACTTATGGCGAATACTAAAAGAAGTAGGCGTACCACAACATCTAATTACGCTTATAACCGAACTATATGAACACACTACTGGATCAGTTAAAGTACTTGACACACTTTCGAACGAATTTCATCCAGAACGGGGTGTCAGAAAAGGATGTATACTATCTCCACAATTATTCAACATATATGGGGAGTATATTATGCGAAGAGCACTTGAAGGATGGGAAAAGGGCATCTCAATAAATGGTCATAAAATAAACAACCTACGTTTCGCAGATGACACAGCCCTTCTTGCAAATAGTCAAGCAGAGCTGATAGAACTTATACGACTGATCGAAAACGAAAGTCAAATATTTGGTCTGCAATTAAACATATCAAAGACAAAGATCATGATAGTGGATAGACTACACAACAATCATCCACACATAACCACAATTGACCGGTTCGAGGTTGTGAGCTCATACTTATATCTCGGATCATTAATCACAAACACAGGGTCATTACAAGAAGAGATTAAATGTAGATCTGATCTAGCAAAAGTTGCCACAGCAAAAATGACCAAAATATGGAAGGACTGTCAAATTTCAAGATCGATAAAGTTGAGGTTAATTAACTGCTTAATATTCCCAATACTGACCTACGGATGTGAATCTTGGACTCTGAGACAATCGGAGAGAAGAAAGATAGACGCCACTGAAATGTTCTGTTGGAGACGAATGTTACGAATTCCTTGGACTGACCGCAGAACAAATAATTCAATTTTAAGAGAGCTAAAAGTTAGCCAACGACTCTCTAGTAAAGTCCATCTCCAACAATTAAAATATTTTGGGCATGTTATGAGAGCAAACACAGAAAACATGGAAAGACTCATAATACAAGGAAAGGTAGAAGGCCGAAGATCACGAGGAAGATCCCCAACAAGATGGATAGATCAAATAACAGGAATATGCCAAAGACCTATGCATGAATTAAAAGAAATGACCAGAGACAGAGATCTCTGGAGACGGACAATACACGACATCACGTCGACCACTACACTCCCCCTGGGGGGTCAGGATTGAAGAGAGAGAGAATCGCAAACAACAATGGGCGACTGATGAAATATTGACACTAATGAAAAGCAGGCGAAAACAGAAAAATAAAACACTGAAGAATACAATAAAATAAAGGAAATCAGAAGGAAAATTCGGGATGCAAAGAAAAAATGGTACAGCAACAAATGTCTTGAAATAGAAGAACTGCAGAAAAAGAATGACATGTTTAATATGTGCAAACAGGAAAAAGAAATAACTGGAACATATAGATCAACTGCAAGTAGTTTACTTGATAAACAAGGAAATATTATAGTCAATGAACAAGACAAATTAGATAGGTGGAAAGAATAAATTAAGGAGCTGTTTCGGCTCTACTTTTTAATATCTACTTCGAATTTATTTACAACTAAGTCTTAGCTGAAGATACAGGCATTAAAATTAACGAAAATAATGTCAACAATCTCAGATATGCAGACGACACGGTACTAATTGCCTACAATGAAGAAGACCTGCAACGGCTTATAAACAGGGTAATCGAAGCATGTGATGAGCTAAAACTTAATACTTTTAAGACAAAATATATGGTTGACAAAATCTTATGAATTATGATTGTGGTTGAAGTTATGTTTATGACTTATGATTATGTACTATGTCCGTTTATAAACCTGCCTTAAGAGACGTTAATTGTATCCGAAATTCTGCGGTCCCTCCGGTGGGTACTGATCGCACAAGGATAGAAATTATTTTCATTCATTAATTTTTTATAAACGAAAATTTCTCCACCCAGGTGAGATTCGAACTCATAACCTTTAGGTTCAAAGGGAGGCGCTCTTAATACTGAGACACAGAAGGGGTATATTAAGGAATTAATTTATACAATGATATACAATTTCTATCCATTGTATTATTAACACACAAAAAACTTTTTCCTCAAAAAATTATTTTTATTTTACACTTTTAACTCATTAATTTGTTTCACAAAATTCCAAAATTTCACATACTTTTTGGGGCGATGTGTTGTCGAGTTCATTGTAGATTTTGTCGACTTCTGGAATCAATTCCTTTTCGCAAAAATGTTTTATATTCCCTGGTAGAGTTTCTGCTAGAAGGGTACAAATTATTTGTGCATTTTTTTCAATTTTGTCCTGTAAAGAAAACAGAAAATTATTTATTATAATCGAATTTACTTTGAACTATTTTGTGTTTTACCATAAATATACCTACTACCATCGGTATTTTTTATTCTTGAGTTCCTTTTTCTGATTTGTTTGGTGCGATTGATCGAGCATTTAATAATTTGAGCAACATTAATAACCAACGATTTTTTTCTTATGTATTTATACTTTACAATAATTTCATGAAAAATTTAATCAAAAAATGATTTTTTCTTTATTTTTTTTTGCATATAGGTAGTACATTATTACAAGTAGAATATCACACAAACAATCATCATAACGAATTGAATATAAATTGCAATTTTTAGCAAAGCTATAAAGAAAATTTAAGATTAAAAAGCAGACTAGTACTTTAAAACTTACCAATGGAACTTCTTCTAATACGAGTTCTTTTATCGCAGATGCAAATGCTACACAGGTATCACAATAAAAGCTAAAAAATATATTTGAAGTATATAAATTAAATAAATTATATTAAATTAATTTCATGTAAAAAATATACCAGCATTATAAATTGTTATAAATAACTGTTTTAGCATATGATTTAAACATAGGCAAAACTATGTCGATCCTGGTGGGATATATTTTGAAAGTCAATAAAGTACTTTAAGTCAATATATTTGGCTTCATGCGAAACTAAAAAGACAACCCACTAGGTACCTATATTTATTTAAGAAATGTAAATCGGATTTAGAAATTTCATAACAAATTACAACAGGCCACAAAATTATAAAATGTGGATCGAGAAAATACATCAGCGGAAGAATTATACCAGCAATTAACAAAATGCATTCATGAGGCTCCAAGGGAAGCTTTGGGGTATAAAGACAAACATAAAACAAAACCAAGAATGGTGGTCGGAGAATATGTAAATGTTAGTAAACAACAAGAAAACTGCTTATCAGAATTGCATGTCAACGAATAAGGAGGAAGATTACAAGATAATAAAAAATTTATGTGAGATCGAAGATGGGCAGAGGTGGATAGGTATATGGGTGGAACAAGTGTTGTGCAAGCATGGAAGGTGATAAAGACTGTTCTATAATAAACACTATAAGCTTTGTTTGGTTATATAAACTTTATTTTTCTTTAAAGCTACTTACTCATTCTTTTGGGCGCTAACGGTTAAACCTAGAAAAAAAAAGTGGTTTTAATAAGTGAATAGCAAACCTTTTAAATTCAAGCAAACAGTAATTTTAATTTAAAATACTTTATGTTTATTTAGTGTTTCGATTTCTATCAAAGAAATCGTTTTGTTTAAAATTTTAAAAACGATTTTTAAGATGAAAATTCTGATATTAAATGTAAATATTAAATTAATTTTGTATTTATTTCAATAAATATTAAAATAAAAAAGCCAAAAAGAAATCGACGCTTTTACTAATTTCTTTTATTATTGTTCTCTATGCCTTCTTTGTCTATCGTTTATCTGCTGTAGCCGAGCTGTAGGCTATTAGCAGCATCACAGATGACCGATAGTGAATGGCTACGTTTATAGAAATAAAAGTTTTGCAAATACACTGAATACGTAGTCCCCAACCAATCAGCAGCGATACTAATCGATGTGGTGGGTATATCCTACAAAGGTGTAAATTACAAAATATTCCAAAACCCAATGAACATATCGTGAAATGAACGAGAAAGTAAAGTAGACTAAGTGTTTGTCGATTGCGATTAAATCCTTTGAAAATATAGGATTGTTTTGTAAAGCAGTGCTCAGGGGCCGAGATGACTTTTTATTTCAATATCTGTGAGTAAAATCAGATTTGTTAAGCAGACATATACTACAAAACAGTTTGGAATTGATTGATTAGAGTCTAAGTACCCATTTTTCGTTTACTAAATTTCTTCTAATTCCAAGAGTAGACTTCTAATTCCAACAGACCATCGTTGAAAAATGTCAATTTTTTTTAACGATTGGTTGTGTATATGATATTAATCTAATATAAAGCTGATATAAACCTAGCACCAGTATATGCACTACAGATGGCACTAAGGAAGAACTCGAAGAATTTTAATTCAATATCGAAAGATCTAAGAAATATATAAACAGTGACGACAGAGAAATCGTCATGAGCGACTGTAACGATAAATAAATCCGAACAAGTAGCAATAAGTATGGAGTTAATTGGTACAATATTAATAGACAAAGCCATAACATTTTTCCATCCGAATACAAAACTATACACAGATAAAAACATTCTTCACATACAAAAAGGGAAAAATATTAAAAAATTGTAAAACGTAAATACTATAGGGGAGACCGGGGTTGGTTTTCATAGATTCGCCTATTATATATTTTTTTAAGACTAGTATTACTTGTTTTGAAAAGTGCGCATTACCGTAAGATAGAGTGAACATTACTTCAATATTGCCCTTTTTTCTAGATCCCTAGATGTATTCCAACATACTCATATAAAATAATAAGAGTAGCTCTACAACCTATGTCAATTTACCCCGTGATTGGGGTAAATTGTCATAGCCCTTGGGGTAGGTTGGCATATAGGTATAAAACATAACTTCACTGGAAAAATATACAAAGGAGCAGTAATCAATAATGGGTAGGTATATAAAATAATAGAAGCCGAAAAATATAGGTAAATGTATTTAATAAGAAGGTATGAATTCAAACAACGTTAACTTTTTTTAGTTAATAACATAATTAGAAATCTGTATTTGGAAATACTGTTAGTATTCATCACAATCGCAGTTTTGACATCTATATGGTACAGTATTGCCATCAGTGCATTTGAAGTGCGCTGAAAAGTTGCATTCAATGCATTCGATCCACTGTTCTCCAGGGCGACTATTGGAATGTGGCTCCATGCAAACTAGACAGAAAGCATTATCCTGGTCTGAGTCTTCATCTGAAGATACTATTGAACGCTTTTTCTTTATTTTTCTCTTGAATAAATCTTTTTTAGCATTATCAACCGTCGTTTTGGTTGAAGTGGAAGCAGAGTTTTTTGTGATTCTTTTCTTTTTTCTAGCAGAAACTGCTGCCTTCTTCTCCTGTATTGCCTTTTTTTCCTCTTCTAAAGCTTTTTTGATTGGTGTGTCTGTAAGAATTGCAGTGGAACGTCTTTTTCTTCCTCGTTTGGTATTTGTTTTTCTGTCGCCAGCTTTAGGAAATGGTCTTAAGTTTGTCAATAACTTGGTGCTGGAAGTTGATGGAAGGGCAGAGACACCATCAGGAAATGATATAGCCGATGTATCGTTAACAGATGATATAGGCGAAGTTGCTGATACTGCACAGTAGAATTTGGTAGTTGAGATTGTAAGAGGAATAGAATGTGAATTAACCTGAGTTGGCGGAGTAACTTGAATCGGCACGAGTGGAGGCGGATCACACTGCTCCAAAGACAGATTTAAATCAGGTAGAGGATGGTTAATTGGCACAGTAACTTCATTTAGTTCCGGTCGAGATTGATCAATGAGTGCAGCAGTTTGAATTGGTCGATCTGTAGCAAAAGCAGCCATAAACTCCTCAGGAGGGAATATATCCGAATTAAATGGACTTATTCCAGATACTTGAAAGCCAGCCATAATATTCTTTGGAGTAATTGCATTGGGTAGAGCTGACTTCACCACCGCTGGGATATCATATATGGTCATTGTTTGGCCCGGATTATTCGTTATCCATAAATCGCAAGCGGTGTTGATGTATTTTTTTAGAGGACCATAAACACTTCGGTCTAATGGCTGAAGTTTATGGCTGCAATGAGGTGGAAACGATAAAACAGTAACTCCGTTTTGTTTAAAAATATCGAGTGCAGTTATTGACAAATGAGAATCATGATTATCGAGCAACAATAACACTGGTTTTTCTTTTGAACATCTTACGTTGTGTATAAAATGCTCTGCAAATTTTATAAACTGTGTCTCGGTCATCCATCCCGAAGGATTCGCATCACCTATACTGCCAGGTGGACCGCTTCGAACAAAGTGCGCTCGATAGTTTTTCCTAGGAAATATGAAATACGGAGGAATTGAATTGCCTGACGCTGAAACAGCAATGGCCAGTGTCACTAGGGTACCCCGTTCTGCAGACGTTATTCTGCCAATTTGTTTAAATCCTTTACGAGCCACTACTCTATCAGGTTTCTGTACGGTGGTGATACCGGTTTCATCCATGTTATATATGTCACTCGCAGTTAATTTCAGTCGGTCTAAAACTGTTTTAAGATTTTTAAAAAATTGTGACACATTATGTTCATTAAAACTTGAAGCTCTAGCTTGGCTAGTAGCCTCTGGAGTTCTGATGGATAATGTCTGTTGTCGTTTTAAGAACGAAGTAAACCAATCAGGCCCTGCCATTTGGTTTGTAGACCAAGATGTTGGAACCGTAATATTAAGAGTCGTAGCATATTGAAAAGCCAACTTTCGAACCTGCTTTGGTGTAAGTCCATAATAAATATCAGATGCAGTTTTTAGATACTCACATAAAGCCTCTTCGTCTTGCACGTTAAAGATCTAAAACAATATATCATAGTTATTACCTAAGAAAATTTAGACTCTTAAAAATATTTATACCTGTCTGTTCTTCTGATATCCTACATGCAGCACAGATGGAATACCTCCAAGTTCCGTTTGCAGTATATCCGTTTTCATTTTTTTACAATATCGTGCAAGAGTGCGCACCCTATAATATAGTCTTGCGAAACAACCTTCAAACTTAACTTATCAATAATATGAGCACGTACAGCTCGTTCCATAACGTCAGCAGGTGTTTTTCCTCGCTCTGTTTTTCTTTTATAGGTTCGCATGGTTACGTCTGTAAATAATTAGATAATATACCTAGTTAGATAATACTTTTGTTACAAAAATACATTTCATAGTTATACACGGGGCAGGTTGGCACATCGTGACAACCTGCCCCATTCATAAAATGCCAACCAACCCCGATGACGGTTTTTCAACTAAAATGGCTAACACGTGTTTACGAATTCATAAACTGTTAATTTGTTTACGCCAGATTAAAAAGCTATCAATATACTTTCATACCATCATCACAGAAAATAACTTAAACGTTTGTACTAGATAATATTAAAAAAAGTGTACGACAACGAAAAATTACTCACCAAATGTAAAACCACAAATCAACACTATATTCACTGGATAACGTTACAACTTCGACTGAAAGTATGGTAATACAAGCGCCAACGGTTTGTGCATGCACAGGTCGGCGCGCTATGTTTTACTATGAACGGCGCGTAATTTAAATGCACAATGTCAACGTACCCCGTATGACAACCAACCCCGGTGTCCCCTACTAAAATTTTCTAAAAGCTTACCGACACAAACCAACAGAGACAAAACTAAGGTTAACAACTTAACAACACTTGAATAAAAAATCTTTGATTACTCATACTTCCTCACATTCCTACTTATATTTATTTATGTGGTGAGATTACACAACTTATTATAATATAATAAATATATTTTATATGAATGAAATTGTAAAATTCTATTTCATTTTATTTCATTCATAAAAATTTCTACACAATAATTAAAACCCAACAGTAAAAATACAAGAAAAGTACTAGATTTTTTTTATTTATTATTAAAAGACTTTCTTAGAGGTGTCTTTTACACTGACATATGATCATAAAGATGAATGCGCAGTTCCGTTCCGCTCTAATTAATATAAATAAATCTGAAAACCATAGTTACATTCAATTGTGGCGAAGATGGTACCATAGATGAAGATGACCAGTTCGTTCAAAATGATTGGAATTAGCTGGATCAGAAGAATATACTAACTTACTCACTACTTAGAAATTTTGAGATCTACGCTAATTTTTAAACCTAAGCTCCTAGGAAACTGAAAGGGTGTAGAGTCTTATAAGAGTTCAAAACCTGAAAGACTAGTAACTGCATTGGTGTAGACCTTAAGAGTTCCTAAGTAAGAAAAAAAACTCAAATATCGCTTACACTTTCGATCAGGTACACTCTGTACAATCACCAATCAATATTTGACAAATCAGATTATTTGCTCTAATAAGTGCCCGTATTACTGATCTAACGAATAAGGATTTCCAATTGTTCCAACGAAAAGGTCTGTATTAGGACGAATTTTGTGGTAAGGTTACTCAACTGAAAGACACTTCAGAATAAAGCATGAGGATCCC